AGAGAGAGAGAGAGAGAGAGAGAGAGAGAGAGAGAGAAGTGCTTAAAGCTGTGGTTAGAGCAAAGACAACACAGAGGAAGAGTCAAAGAGTTATAAGTACGGGGCATTTTGACTCTTGTGAAGAGAGTCAAAGAAATGACAGAAGTACACCATTTCATATCCTTTGTGTCTGACATGTGGCCTGAGGTGATACAGGGTTCTCATCTGAGTTTGTGGCAGCATGGACTCGTCCGTGTTAACAATTTAAAGCACATGAAGTTCCATTGACTATTGTCCTCCACGCTGTGCGTTCTGTAGAAACCTTGGGTTGTATGACGTGAACCCAGGCTGTGAGTCTGGGGAAAATAAAGGATTCCAAGGAGATTATTATGGCAACTAAACAGTGTATTTAAACACAGGGTGCAGATCACATGCCCTAAGCAAACACCAAGAGGCTGTGTGGCTCTTGGGGAGTTTTCTTTTTGTTGAGTTCTGTCTTAGGGGAGATTCCGAAGGGGGAAAAAAAAAAACAATTCAGGAAGTCTCAACACATCTATTCTTATACAGCTTTGAAAATAAAAATGATTTTTGGTAGATAGCAAAGAATTCTGATATGTATTGAGTCTTCAACATTTCAAACAGGGTTGAGAAAGAAGAGTATTTCAACTGTTTGCTTATTTGTAAAGCCTCAGAGTTTTATTTTGGAAGCTGCATGCAGACCACATCTAAATATTATCTACTAAGCCCATCTCTGTTGTTCTCATGCATACTGAAGTATACTTCTAAGAGGAAAAATAATGTAGAAAGACTGGTTTGAAAAATGATTGATTAATATTAGCAGATGAAAGAACATGTTGATGCTCAATTTAATGCATATGTTTTTTGTTTTAAATCATATCCATTCACAGGAATGCAACGTCTTCTATACCTAAACCTGAAAATTGACCTAAAGTACCACCACATATTCAAATTATAAATTAAAAGCCAATGAAACCAAGACTTATTAATAATGACAGGACAGAATGAAAGTGGTGGTTCACAAGCTATGGAAAACCTTGGTCCCCAAAATTACTTGGGATACACACTTTTTCACACTTACTAATTTCCATGTTAATTGTTGAAATGGTGCTATTTGACTGGAAAAAATATATTTATCACAATCACAAATGAACTTCCTCATAGGATTTTCAATCTGTTATCAAGATATATGACCTTTATTATCACTTGGACAACAGCCGTAAGCCTTTGGAAAGCTTTATTAGGATTCTAGACCAGACTGTGAAATCTATTGTTGGAATTATGCTTTTGAAAAACTTGCTATGTCTAATAGGAAGTTGATTTTAGCTTACCCTAAGTGATATTTTTTCTACTATGGTGTGTTATTTGCTATGGCTTAAAACTGTTTCATTTCTTCTTTAGGCTTAGGTATAAAAAAACCACTATTGGTATGGGTGAGAATGATTTAAAACAATTGCATTGCTATGCATAAAACTGATGCATCAACACATTCTTTCATCCACTAAAATTAAGTGATAATTTTAAAAACATCCTTATTTCATTTTTACTCTTAAGAAGTGTACACTGTTATATGAGGAGAGGGCCAAAATGGCTTAAGCAGACATTATTTAGATATAGGCTAGATACAAGCTCCAAAATGAAACTCTCATTCTCTTCTTTTGCTTTATTAATTAATTTATTTATTATTTAAATGTTTCATATATTTTGATCTTCTTTCTTGTCCTCCATAACTAGCAAGTGCTCCCTATTCATCCAACTTCATGTTTTTCCCTCTCAAAATGAAAATATAAAAAAAATATAAAGTACATATGCAAGTGAAAAAAATTCTTTATCAGTTCCAGAAAACATGGCCAGGAAAAGGCATCAACCTGAATTCTCTGATATTTAACGGTAGATTTTGTTTTTAAGTAATATGAGCATGATTTGATGTATTCAGGTTTTGCACATTGTATTTCTTCTCCAGAATCCTCCTCCCCTTTGAAGGGACTCAGGACCAAGTGAAAAAGTTAGAGACCTATGTAGTAAAGTGGTGGCAACTGGCCTCAATTCTGTCACTTGTGATCATAAAAACTTTAATCATTTTTCCCCTTCTGTATTCCTGGGTTCAATCTCATTTGATTTTTCCTGGCTTATATTGTTTCCTTGATATTGGAGCTTAATCATATAGAAAATGTTAGGAATTCCTATAGAATATTGGAAAATGAGAAGAATGGGGGCAAGTAAGGTCCATCTTTAATATATTCCATAGGAAATGCAAAGTAATGATTCCAATTCATTAACAAGTAGAACAGCAAATTACTGTCATGTCACACACCATGAAGAAAAGTATTTTCCTCATAACATCCTATGATGTTATGACAAAACACATAAAAGTTACATTAAGAGGAAAAGGAGCAATTTCTTTGCAGGACATGATAAAATACTCATTACTATAAAACAGTCATGGCATGTCTGGCACAACAGCAGCTCATCATCTTTTCCTTTAATAAAACGACAACACCCATAAACACGATGTGCAGAAAGCTATGCAAATGCAGCTACAATTACAGAGATTACTGTTCCACATTTGTAAACCAGGAAGCACACAGATGCATCAAGGATGAGACTGTTGGGTACCACACCTGTTGCTGAGAGTATATAAACCCAGCTCTCCACAGCATGACATTCAAACTCAGAATCCTCCCAGGTACATCCAGCTGAACTCACATCTCCTCTCAACATGGCCTACAACTGCTGCTCTGGAAACTTCTCCTCCCGCTCCCTTAGGCACTGCCTGCCCTCCTCACGTTCCTCCTGTGGTTCTTCCTACCCCAGCAACCTGGTCTACACCACCACCAGCTGCTCTCCCAGCACCTGCCAGCTGGGATCTTCTCTGAACACCAGCTGTCAGGAGACCTGCATTGAGCCCACCAGCTGCCAGAGGTCCTGTGTGGTGTCCAGCCCCTGCCAGAAGCCCTGCTACTACCCCAGGAGCTCCACACCTTGCAGTCCCAGCCAGGGGACATATGCTGGGTCTCTGGGCTTTGGGTCCAGGAGCTGCCGTTCCCTGGGCTATGGATCTAGAAGCTGCTATTCAGTGGGTTGTGGAACCAGTGGCTTCAGATCTCTGAATTGTGGAGTCTCTGGCTTCCCTTCCTTGGGTTATGGGTCCAGATTCTGCTACCCAACATACCTGGCTTCTACTACATTTCATCCTTACTGTTACACATCAACCTGTGGGTCTGGCCTTGTTGGATTCAACTGTTAAATCTTTGTAGTCTTACAATATCAAAATCAATATCTCTGTGTCCTATAGCCTTGTAGTCATTCTTCCTTCTCACCACTGTCTTTTCAATGATCCTTCAACTACTTCTTTCATCCTCAACTTCTGACCGATTCTCAGAATAAGGATAACTCAAAAGTATGCCTTACTGTCTATCCTCTCAAATTTATTTTTGGTTTTCCTCCAAGAGTATCTAAAATTGAAAATTTTAATCAAATAAATTTGATTTGTGCAATCTTACATCTCGATTTATTATTACATTATTATTATTTGATTTATAGTGTTCAATTAAGTATTCGGAAGTCTTAAATAATAACCAGCAGGGTTATTTGTCTGGATTTGTTGTACTCATTTTGTATACGGAGATGTGTTAGTGGGAGCAATCAGTTCTGGGAAGACATTCATTGACATCTGCAAACAGGGTTCAAACTGCAATGGCTTGAGATTGAAGGACATGAATTCTTACTGAGCCAGTAACTTAAGGTCATTAACATAATAAATAGAAATGCAAGTGCCAAGAATATTATATTGTATAATCCAGATAGTGAAATTTATACAAAAGGAAAAACTTATTTTGCTCTAGAATTTGAATGTAGACTTTTTTTAGACAAAAGATAACCCAAGTTTTAAGCAGCTATCAGGACAATTACTTGTACTGTGTTAATGCTGGTATCCCTGCTTCTCAAGTTTGGGGTGCCCCTGCTTCTCAAGTTCAGGGTATTATTCCTGTACCTTGTCTTTAAATAGGTGTATGAAAAACCCACTGAGCTGTGTTCAGGAGGAGCTGGGTCCATCTGATGCTTCTTCCAGCCTCAACTTCAATCAACAGAAGAGCAGTTTCTCTATGAAATTTTGAGTTTATAGTCAGTGTCACCCTGAGCCTCAAAGCAGACATGAAGCTGCACATCTTGGCAATTTATTTAAAATAACGCCTGAGGAAAAAAAAGGCAATACAGGTATCACGGGAATTAAAGGTTAAAAAGGTTTGAAAAAGAAACAAATCTGTTTTTTTTAAGTGTGTATTTTAGTGTTTTTCTAAGGGAAAATTGAAATGCAATATCCTAGGGACTCCCAGAGGACATTTTGAAAAATACATATGTCCACAGAAAGGAAGCAGTTAGGTTTGAATTAAAAATTCCACCATCAAGAATAAGGTATATAATTTACTGGGTTACGTCTGTATATGAGTGTTTGCCTGTGTGAATGCATGTGCTCTACCCGAGTGTCTGATGCCTGCAGAAACAGAAGAATCTATTAGATAGCCTGGAACTTGAAGTATGGATAGCTGTGAGCTGCCATGTGGGATCTGGAAGTGGAACCTGGATCCTCTACAAAAGAAGCATGTACTCTTAGCCACTGAACCATCACCCCAGGTCACACTGAACAATTTTTTAAAGTGTTTTCTAGTCATTTGTGTTTTTTGTTATAAGATTTTAAAAATATACCTGTTTTATTTTATTTTATTTTTATTTATTCTTCTCTCCACAATGCATCTCAACCTCAGCTTCTCCTAAACTCCACTTCTCCCAGTTCCCTCTCCTACTCCTCTCTCTCCCATATCTACTGCTCCTGTTTCTCTTCAGAAAAGAGCGGGCCTCCCAGATATCAACAGAACATGGCACAACAAGCCAAAATAAGACTAGGCACAAACACCAAAAGAGTGGGCCTTCCAGATATCAACAGAACATGGCACAAAAAGCCAAAATAAGACTAGGCACAAACACCCATATCAAGGTTGGATGAGGCCACTCTGGGTGAGGAAAAGGATTGCAAGAGCAGGTAAAAGAATCAAGGCATCCCCACTCCCACTCTTAGGAGTCCCACAAGAACCACAAGCTAAACAACCAAACCATGCATGTAGATGGCCTAGCACAGACCCATGCAGGCCATGATTGCTACTGCAGTCTCTGTGAGCCCTATGGTCTCTGTTTAGTTGATCCTGTGGGCTGTTCTCCTGGTGTCTTCAACTCCTCTGGCTTCTACAATTCTTCCTCCCCCTCTTCCAAAGGAATGCTGCCTAATGTTTGGGTGGGAGTCTCCACATCTGCTTCTGTCTGCTGCCAGAGAAAGTCTCACTGATGGCAATTGGGCTAAGTACAGATTGATGAGTACAGCAGAATATCATTAGGAATTATTTCATTGCTATTTTTTTTGTCAGTTGTGTTTGGTTCTACACTAGATCTCTGAGCTATCCAGCTTCCATTTCCTGGCCATCCTCCAGGCAGTGTGGGACATGAGTTGCCTCTCCTGGCATGGGCCTCAAGTTAGACCAATCATTGGTTGGCCATTTGTACAAGCTCTGAGCCATCATTGCCCCCAGCACATCTTGCAGACAGGACAGGTGTGAGTGAAAGGTTTTGTGGCTGGCTTGGTGTCCTACTTCCACCACTGTGAGCCTTGCCTGGTTACAGAAGATGGCCTGTTCAGGATCCACAGCCTCCTTTACTAAGAGTCCTCCCTAGTGTCATCATCATAGGTTCATAGGTTCCAGGATGTTTCCACTGTACTAGGTTTCCACATTGCTCCTAAAGGCCCCCTATTCCAGTCATCTCGCCCTGTTCTCTCTCTCTCTCTCTCTCTCTCTCTCTCTCTCTCTCTCTCTCTGTCCATCTTATTTTTAATTAAAATATAATTACATCATTTTTTCCTTTTCTGCTTTTAACCACTTCCATGTTCCAATCCCCTAGCTCCTACTCAAAGCCATGACCTTTTTAAAAATTTAATACTGTTACCTATGTGTATAAATGTATAAATATATAAATACAGCCTGTTTAGTCTTTTAGTGTTGCTTGTAGGTATACAATTTCAGGACTCACTACTTGATATTAGATTGCCAATTAGGGATCTTAAGACTGGGGAAGAACTATTCTGCCTGTCTCAGCCTTTCTTGTTTGCCTATATTTCTTTGTCTGGGGGAGGGTCCTATAAGACTTCCCCCTTTCAAAATAGCATGTCTATTAGTATTACTTTTTCAGATTATATTTATGCAACATTATTGTTGAGGTATCCTAGGTATAACTTCCCTGCAATTTCAGAAATCTCAGACAGGGTCTAAGAGAAGATTCCTATCCCTCTGTCTATTTCAATCTTTTTAGGCCCTCTTCCATATCCCCCAAGTCTTAGTAGCAAGAGTTGTCTTGGAGATGTATCCATTGAGTCTGGGAACCTGAAAATCAGTTATCCCCTATGTTGTTGACTTATTACAGTTTTCTGTAATGGTTTCTGTCTGCTACAATGAAAAGCTTCTTTCAGGAGGCTTGAGAGCTTATAGTAACTTGCCACGCCGGTCATCGTTGTAGTTTATAGGTGTCACAGCTGAGTATGCCTATTGAATTTCTCCCTCCCTTAGTCACTTACATAGTGTCTCCTGGTACTCTGAAGGCCAATAATCACAGAACAGGCTTTCAGGCAAGATCCATCTTAACTTATCTAAGTCCTGGGCCAAAAGTCTATCATGTCTTCAGAAATAGGAAATTTAACTCCTGGGAAGAAACCAAGGACAAAGACAATAGCCACATTGTTCTGGGAGTTTTTTGAACTCCCCTGAACAATAACTGACAAAAGGGTTTCTCATTTCTTATGCCTAGTACTGAGTTTATGTGATATACAAATATATATCATACACATAGGTATATTATATTTAATTTATACATAGAGATAGTTATATGTAATACATTGAGATATATTAAAAAATTAGGTAAATTAAAAAATATGATTACTTGTAGCTTTCTCAAAAATCCTTAGCATTTTTTCCCTTGCTCTCCTTTGCCTGCTGTATTGACCACTCTTATTTCCACATCTCAGTTTTAATTGGTTGTTTTATTGATGTTTAGTTTTTGTAAGTTATTTGTGTTGTGTAGAACCTAATCAAATATCAGATGGATAGCTCACATTGATTTTATCACAATTAGTGGACTGTTCCTTCACTAAACCAACATTGTCCTTTGCTAAACAAAAGCTTTTGAATTTTATGATCTCATATTTGTCCACTCTTAGACTGATAACTTATACTATGGAAGTCTTATCCAAAAAAGCATAGGCCTGTGCCTATGAATTGAAATGTATGCCCACATTATCCTCTAGAGGTTTCAGAGTATGTTGTTGGTTGATTTTTACTCTTTGCTCTTTTATTGTTTTGGCTCTTTACTCTTTGGGGGGCCTGCCACACACCTCCCAAACAAATTACATACAGGGAGGCTTATTATTTCTTATGAATGCCTGGCCTTGGTTTGAGTTGATGCTGGCCTGCTTTTCTTAATTTAAATTATCCTGTCTACCTTTTTCCTCTGGGCTTTTATCTTTCTCTATTTTTTATATCTTTTCTTTCTTTCTTATTCCATGTTTGGCTGTGTAACTGGGTGGCTGGACCCTAGCAGCCTCCTCTCTTTGTTCTCTTGCTCTTCCTTCTTTTCCTCACAGATTTCTACTTCTATTTATTCCCTCTGCCCACCAGCCCCACCTATCCTTTCTCCTGCCTCTTCATTATACCATTAGCTCTTTATTAGACCATCAGGTGTTTTAGACAGGCACAGTCACACAGCTTCATAGAGTTAAACAAATGCAACATAAAAGAATGCAACACATTTTTGCATCATTAAATGTTCCACAGCATAAACAAATGTAACACGTCTTAAAATAATATTCTACAAGAGTATTAGGTCTTATGATGATGTCCTGAATCCATTGGGAGTTAAGTGCAAGATAGGATATGAGGAAGTGTCTAGTTTCTATTTATCTGCATGTTTAGAACCAGGATTCCCAGGACCATTGGTAGAAGATGTTGCTTTTGCTTCAATGTTATATTTTTGCTACCTTGGTAAAATCTTAGGTAGCTGTTCTTATAGTGATGAACTTGTATCCTCTATTTTGTCTCATTGATCTTGTATCTATTTTGTGTAAGAAACATATTGTCTTAATATTAAGGCTCCATATGATAAAAGTTGAAATTAACTAATGCAAAATCTCCTGTATTATAGTTTTCACTC